TGCTGGTTCACTATTTCAGATTTGAATTTCACTGTTATAAATAATTTCATGTTATTTCTTGCCGGTATTTTTTGTATTTGTCATGATTTGTCATAAAAAAACTGTTTGCATTCCAATAACGAGTTTATTTGATTTTATGACTTATTTTTCTATTTAAATGAGTGAAAAATAGCATATTTTTAATATTTTAATTTAAATATTTTTTGAAGTTTATTGATATTTTGTAGTTTTACTAAGGAAAATTTGCTATAGTTAATATTTAAACTTGAAATTATTTTCCAGTCATTGTTAAAGTTCTGCAAGGGAAAAGTAATATTGTATTCCTATAATTATGTGTTTTATTTTGATAATCACAACATTGGCAGATCTAAGTCAAAAGTATAAAATGCCTTGTTGATTGATAATAACATTTTCGCCCGTGGCTGGGACAACATCGGGATAGGTGTCTCGGTAACTTACCTTATTTTGTCGCCAGATTATTCAACTCATAAGGTGGGTAGTAAAGCTGTATAGCTTCCCCATTACCTTTTACTTATTAACCCTTCTTCAGTTTTGCATCGAGTGTGTTTGAACCTAGTGATGCTCAGTGTTTGTTGTCTGATAAGTTATTGTTCTTAAAATATTTATTTTATTTTTGCCTTGTATTAGATATTTCTTTTATATAATGTATTGAATATTATTTCATATATTTTCCTGTGTTTAACTCAAATTGAATATTATTTCATATATTTTTCTGTGTTTAACTAAATCATCAAATAATTAAATGTGTTTTTTTTTATATACTTAATTTGTCATTTGTATCCAAATTGACGTTTGATTAGTTTTATTGAATTTATTTTGACTTTGGGGTTTTTTTGCTGGTTCTTTCCCCTCATATGATAAACTAATTATTTTTTATTGCACCGAACCAGACCTATATTTAGTCTTTATAAATGTATTTTATATACTTATAAATTTTTACTTTCTGATTCTTTCATCTATATTTTCAATAAAGATTAGATATAAATCAATAGATATTTTCTTTTAACCTTTACCACTCCCTCAATAACACGTAAGTAGCCAATAGATAACGAATCTTTCAGTCAGTCACTTCATAGTCGATCACGCCTCCATTTTATTTATCATACTTTTATAAAAGAGAGATATTAGTTAAGTTGTCTCTCTTTATTTCAGTGGGTTACACTACACAATATATTGAATAAAAATCTTAAACAGATAGGTAAAAATGATGTGCTATAAAATAGAATAATGTCTAATATATTTAAAATAAATACCTAAAGATATTTTTTATTCCAACGAATTTAAACAATCTGAATTTGGATACTCGAAGAATTAAAAAAGTTGAAGAAACACTCCTAGTAAAATATTCTTTAATAAAACGATAGGCAGTATTAAATCAATTTATATTAAAATCCTCAATTATTTACTGCCACTTCCCAATATTTTAAGGGAGGAATTTATATAATCTTAGAAATACAAGGTGCCCATCTATAAATTGACACATTTTAAATGTGATTATTGACTAAAAAGAAATAAGATACAAATGTGCGGTTTTGACCAATGAGTTTTAAATTTCGGAAAGTTTTTATCCAATCACATTAGCAAATTTTCCCATTTATACAGGGCGAGGAAAAAACTTGCCTATTTTCAACTAAAAATAACTTGACTTGTTTAAATAGAACACCCTGCATATTTTTAAACCATTCGAAAGCTGAGTTCTTTAGGTTTTAAAAAATGCCAGCATGTGCATTTTAAGTTGTACAAATAATTTATAATTACATTAATTTGATTATCGCATAGCTTTTCAATTTTTTAAAGTACGTATTTTCTGCATGTTTAATTTTTTTGGTCATTTATATACTGAAATCTTTCGGTAAGTTTTACTTATTTCAGTGTACAAACGAAAAAAAAAAAAAATAAAAAAGCAGAAAATGCGTTCTTTAAAAAAATGAATAATTTAATTCATTTTTATTAATTTTTATTAATTTAATTTTTATTAATTTTTATTAATTTTTATTAATTTTTATTAATTTTTATTAATTTTTATTAATTTTTATTAATTTTTATTAATTTTTATTAATTTTTATTAATTTTTATTAATTTTTATTAATTTTTATTAATTTTTATTAATTTTTATTAATTTTTATTAATTTTTATTAATTTTTATTAATTTTTATTAATTTTTAAATTTTTTTATTAATTTTATTAATTTTTATTAATACAGAAATCTAAAAACCTCAGAGCACGTCATTATTTATTCATTTATGCTACAATTATAATTTTCACCCCGCATTTCCCCCCTTAAAATGTTAAAATGCAAAAACCCTGAAACATTTCATTATTTATTTATGATGAGAACCTACAATTCCAATTTTCAAGTTCCTACCTTTAAAAAATCGATATTTCCAAATAAACTTTCACACCCCGTTCCCCCCCCCCCTTATAATGTGAAAATCCAAAATCCCCTAAAATACGTTATTATTAATTTGTACTTATTAGCTGCACTTTCAATTTTCATGTTTCTAACTTCAAAGAGAACAAAAAAATCGATAGTCCCATACAAACTTTCACCGACCCCCCCCCCCCGTTTTCCCCCCTTAAAATATGAAGATCCAAAAACCCTGAAACACTTCATTATTTATTTATGCTTAGTAGCTGTAATTTAAATTTTCATGTTTCTAACTTTAAAGACCAAAGAGTTTCATTAAAAGCTCCCTCCCCCCATTTCTCCTCTCTAAAGTTAAAATTTCCAAAAATCTTTTCTTAGCGGATGCTTACGTAATTAAATAAACCTATGTTCCAAATTTCAGCTTTCTAGGCTCAGTAGTTTTGGCTGTAAGGTGATAGGTCAGTCAGTCAGTCAGTCAGTCAGTCAGGACAAACAATTTTATATATATAGAGTTTGTAAATGATGACCGTTTCAGTGCTATGTCTTTTGTAATTATTGTGTAATTACTTCCTTTATTCATTTGTACATTTTTAAAATGTTAAATTACTTTGTATATGAATATGGTCTAAGGAACCAATAAAGATTATTATTAATATAGTATATTTAGACCTCTATCTAGCATTTGAGTATGATCTAAGGAACCAATAATAGTATATTACTCACCGAGGTGGGAAGAGTTTCATTCCTGTCATGAGATTAGTTAGATCACCGAGACAGGTTAGCTATGATCTCGAGACAGGAATGAAACTTCCTACCGAGGTTTGTATACTATTTTATTTACAACCATCATATTTCGATCAAAGTTCATAAATCTCTGTTTCGTTCTGAACATACCTAAAATATTACATTTAACGACAAATTACAAAGCGCGCAGTTTTCTCAGAATAATCAAGTAAATATATTGTTACTGTAATTACGGGGTAAACAACTGTCACCAATATAAATAAATGTCAGATAAAGCCGGATATTAAATTCGCGAATAATAAATATCAATAAGTAGTTTGTTGTATTTTTGTTCATTGTTGTTTTTTATTGTTTGCCATTAAATAGGTATTATAAAATTTGTGGAGTGAAAAAACCTAATATAATTTAAACTAAACACATCTTGCAGGTGATGTGATATTTTTTATCATGATTGTATTGAGGCATTAAATTAAGGTTGCTGGTTACATCCTTTGGTCATTTAATGATTTTGACCCCGTGTATCCGAAATTTTCATAATTTTAAGGGTTACACCACTTGGCCTATAAGGTGTCGATATTATGTATTTTTTTTTGCCCTTTTGTAAATTAGTTTAACAATCACTCACAATTTTCCTAGACTATTAACTTTGTCATTATTTCTAATGGTACAGGAAAATTTAAGAAAAAATGAAAAACTAAACATGTTACATCATAGGTTTTTCAAGTTTTATGTCAGATTTGAACATTTTTCTTTATATTCACATATTAAATTAACATTCTGTATATGAATTTATTTTATTTAATTAAAATGTTCATTTTATATGCAAGTACTATAAACTGCTCCAATTTTAACTCTCAAGTTTGATGTGTAAATCATAATAAAATATGATGACTTATTTTAAAATTATTTTCATAACATTAAACTGGAGATTGAAATTTGAATATGTTTCTAATGTATATTCAAAAATTAAATATTGCTAATTGTTATGTTATATTGTCTAATTTGTGATATTATAAATTTAGATGTGAATGAGAAAAAAAGAGATTGATTAACAACCATGTAACAGTATCACAATATTATCTTTAATAAATACTTATAGTTTAAAAAACTAAAATCACGCTTTTAGAGCATATCAAACTAAAAAGTTAAAAATAATTTTTCAAATAAGCTTAAAACAATAATAAATGGAAAATACTAGTATTATTGTAAAAAAAGCGTCGGGCGCTCAATGTACGAGAAATATAGACAAAGCGCCCCACGCTTTTTTCACAATAATGCTAGTATTTTCCATTTATTATTGTTTTAAGCTTATTTGAAAAATTATTTTTAACTTTTTAGTTTGATATGCTCTAATAGCGTGTTTTTTAGTTTTTTTAAACTACAAGTATTTATTTTTCACTTTTTAGTTCGATGTATTATAAAAGCGTGTTTTTTTAAACTATATTTATTTTTTACTTCTTAGTTCGATTAAAAAAAAAAAAAAATTGCTGAAAAAAAAAATTTTTTTTTTCATCCGCGTGGATTAGAACCCACGATCGGTGAGACTGGCAATCCAAAATCCGCGCGTTACACCGCTCGGCCACGAACGAACTTGACTTAACGGGATATACTGACAGTAATAAGCCACTTGAGTCCAAAGGAGAGTTACAAACATACATAAATACAGGTGAAGCTAATATAAGCGTGTTAAAAAAAACATGAAAACCATCTGGTTGTAACAATTACAAAATGTAACTTTGAATTCTAATCATGTGTGTTTTGAGTGCAATGTTCTAACTGGATTCAACTCGTACTTCTACCTTGACAATTACATCCTGTAGATTTTTTTTACAACACCAAATAAATAACAAAAATTAGAGAAACTTACCTCTAACTGCCTTATTGACTGTTCTTGTTCTTCTAGAGCCCTTAGATCATCCTCTTCTTGTATTTGTAATTGCCTTGTGTTATTATCTTGTAATTCAATAAGTTGCTGATCTTTTGATTTGTAACCAACTAGAAAATAATGGTCAATAAATACATATTGATTTTTTTTTAAATATTGAACTTACTGAGATGTGGCTCACCATATGCTTGGGCTTTAGCTTTATTGACCTGTTCTTTTTCTTTGGAAGCAGTACTCCTTTGCACTTGCTGAAACATGTTCAATGTACTGGTAAATTCATCTTGTAACCTTTCTTTTTGCATTTTTCTTTGTCTTTGCTCTGATTGGGACATAGATGGGGGCACAGTGCTAAGCTCCTTGATGTAACCATTGGTGTCTTTAACTAGTTGTTGGGTGTAATGCTGAATGGAATGCCTGAATAATAGTATTTTTTGTAATCATTAAAAATAAAGGAAATCCTCATGAATATGGAATAAAAGTTTACAAAATCTAGCAATTTTAATTAAAAGATCAGAGAAATCAAAACCAATGGAGATGTCCAAAAATATTCCAATACATTTATTAAATTACTGAAATTATTAAATGTTTAATATTATATTTCATCTAGTCACCTGATTCGTTTTAAAAATATTGTTACTGAATCATGTTTTACTATTGATAAACAAAAAAATAGGTAGGTATTTGTGTACAAACAAATTAATTGTTCGAAGATAACTAGTCTGTCAAAAATATAAAGACACAATATAATTTTAAATCTTTTGTTGAAGATTTCAATTTAAATTGATGCTATCCTATTGCGTACCATAAAGTCGGGTGACTTTCAAAATTTAAACCTAGTTACAATTGTTAAATAAACCATATCCAAATTCGCATTTTCGCCATAATTTAGTTTTCAGTTATATTTTAAGAATTATTAAGCAAAAATATCTCAAATGGTCTAATTTTTCAAATAAAAAAGGGGTGTGCAAAGCCACCCGCAGGTAGAGGGTGACTTTGACTTACCCATCATTTTACATTGTTTTCTCTATAATATTACTTGCTGGTTTAAAGCCACCCATCACAGTTATTTTGCAATGAGTTCAATTTTTTATACTACAAAAAGCGTAAGTATCCAATTATCTTTAAATAAAGTGTTTTGGGTAGTTTTAATACCTTACAGTTCAACCAGCGTCAGTTTTATTTTAAAAATGGGATGTATAATTTTTGTGCACAAAAATAACTATTTACTGATTTGTGCTAAAGTCACCCATGCGGGCCAAAGTTACCCGACTTTATGGTACGTAATAGGATAGGGGTCTGGACGACTTTAGGGACAGTGGAATTTTAAAGAAATTTATTTTTTATCAGGAAGAGCGTATTTTAAATAGTACATTTAAAAAAATTGTGATAAATGCATTATTTAAGCCAAAAAAAAATTATTTAATTTCCATAAAAATCAGTATTTTGGCGACTGTAAACATCAAAACTCGATGGTTTCTGACAAATTTGAAAAATATAATTGCAACGTTGCCGGATTGTGATAAAATTAACAGAAAATGGAAAATTGCGATTGCAATACTGGTCTCAAATAAACACATTTATATTCTGGTTTTATCATCTGGCCTGGAGCTATTGAAAAAACAGCCACTGTCATTCCTGTTATGTACCTTCTTTTATTATGTTTGACAACACCACATTTATAGAAATAGAAATGTCAGTTGTCATATTATTCATAAACAAAAATTATTTGATATCATTATTAACAATATAAAGCAATTGGCAATGTCACAAAAATCACGCACAGGCGCTCTTAGTGTGACTGTCTAATCGAAAAAAATTAAAAACTATATGAGAATGTCGTGAATAAATGCATATTCTTCATTTTTTAGCTTACAAATGTGTTTTAATAATATTTGTTGCTTTAATTAGCGCACGCTTATGGAAGATTAAAAAGTGTAAAAATATTATGGTTTTACTTAATCTTTATGAAAAAAGTGACAAAATTACTGTTCCTAATAATGTCTTTAACCTAGGATAGCATCAATTTGAATTGAAATCTTAAAAAAAATATTAAAAATTATACGTATTACGTTCCTTTACATTTTTGACAGACTAGTTATCTTTGAAAAGGAAAGAAGCCTCACAATGTCAATTTAATTAGCAACCTATTTCGAAGTAGGTTACTTCATCTTCAGGCACACACCACACCATTTAATTAAATAGGTAGTTCGGTGTGATGTCATTTTGGTTCCACTGACATTTAATAAAAACATCAATAAATTTGACATATACGTTTTTACTGTTTTTAGTTTATTTCTAAATATTGTTTACAGATCATGAAAAATAGTTTAAAGGTATATAATTGATAACTAAACGATTGTTTATTTGATGCTTGTTATCTACTTACTTTAGGAATATATTTATAAAAGTGAAAAAACGATATAATTTAGGTAAACAAAACGCACTCAAAAAATCTACTGTCACTTTGTCAGTGGAACCATAATGACATCATCACTGAACTAGCATATTGACATTGTGAGACCTAAAAAACCCTTTTCTTTCCATATTCATACTCAATCAATCCCAACCACTCACATATGGCTACCCTCACCCTTAATCTTCTATTAGAGTACGTACATGTAGAAGAAGCCTCAATTATGGTTAAGTGAATGTCAATCGATGTAATACAAATATATGGTAAGACAGTGTGTTAATCTTCGACATGTACACACCCTAAGGCTCAAACAAGAGCAAGAGAATTGTCATCAAGATATATCAGAAATACCGTGTATTGCAACTACCACTTTTCTAACAGTCTGATTAAGTTATATTACAGTTATACTTGAACTTACAGTTGTTTTCTTAATTCAGGCGAATCTTGATGTGTTCCAATTTGATTAACCATGCGTTGCATTGAAGAAACTTGAAAAATATTCGATAAAGAAGCGATTTAAATAAATTAATAAAAGGCTTACCATTCTGCGATATTTTTTGAATGCTCGTCCCTATTGTTTGAGACAGTTTTTGAAAATCTTGTTCCACATTATGATAGGAATAATTGCTTTCCATTTTTTCCACAATTCGGAAATTTAGTAATGTAATCGTTTAATTACCTTTGATTTTTGTAAGTTTTACTTGCAGAAACTTTATACAATATTTTTCTTAATTATTTTATAAAATCAATAAATTTGACGTAAAACGGTGATTCATTAGGTTCTTTCGTTCGTCCCACTGGTGTAGGAATGAACTACACCAACGTACACCATACCTTTCGTTTGGCCCGGTGTAAATCCACTACACGTTCCTGTCGGCGATGTGGTTTAAATATGTAATCTGTGGATGTGGTGTCCACTGGTGGATATTTTCTCCACCAGCTATTTAGCAGGAGTAAATTACATTCGACATGTGTATCAGCAGAGAGAGTATCAGAAGTAATCTAGTTAAATAAAGGTGGTGTAACTGGTGTAATTTACACTGGTGGAGACTTCACTAACAGCGAACGAAAGAACCTAACGAAACGAACGATTTTATTTGCTATCGATGTCAACGTCAACAACGTCATCCGTGTTGTCAACCTATATGTCACCTACCTCACCCACAGACCGGATGATGATAAACATTTACTTTTTACTATTTAGGTGTGGTTCTGTTTTCCTAAAAAGAGTGTAACAAAATTGTAGTATTAGTAAATTTTAAAATAAAAGTTTAATATAATGGATAAACTTCCAGCATGTGTAATCGATGTTGGAACTGGGTAAGTTATAAACAACCAGCCAAGTTTGTTTATGTAAATTAACAATTACCATTGGTTTCTAAACAGGTACACTAAATTAGGTTTTGCCGCTAATAAGGAACCGCAGTTTATAATCCCATCAGCAATTGCTATTAAAGAAAGTGCTAAAGTTGGAGATACTAACAGCAGAAGGCTGAATAAAGGAGTAGAAGATCTAGATTTCTTTATTGGTGATGAGGCAATGGATGCTACAGGATACGCTGTGAAGGTACATTGTTCTTTAATGTTTGTACGTAATATATCATTTTAAATTCAATTTCTTTAAGTACCCTGTCCGGCATGGTCTCGTTGAAGATTGGGACTTGATGGAAAAATTTTTAGAACAGTGTATATTTAAATATCTTCGCGCGGAACCAGAAGATCATCATTTCCTTTTGACAGAACCCCCATTGAACACTCCCGAGAATCGAGAATACATGGCAGAAATAATGTTTGAATCATTCAATGTACCAGGTTTATACATAGCAGTGCAAGCTGTTTTGGCTTTAGCTGCAAGTTGGGCTAGCCGAAGTATAGAAGAACGTACGCTTACTGGAATAGTTATTGATAGTGGAGATGGTGTTACCCATGTCATTCCAGTGGTAAGTTGTTTTCACATTTGAATCATATAATCTATTTAAGGCTTACATATTTGCAACATCAGACACAATAAGTGAGTCAGCTAATAAATGATATATATTTAAAATGTTCATTTAATCAGTATGTTTAAAATGTATTATTTGTCTTTATAAGAAAGAATAATAAATACTTGGCACCCCCAAATAGTTATTTCTATAATAATTATAGGTAGGTAATGTAAATTTAATTAATAGAGAAAAAATACAAACCATGCTGCTATTTATTTATTAGTTGTAAAGAAAATTCCTTGAGAAAACTCTCAGCCATGGAGGAAGGATAAATACCCATATTCACATTTATAAATTCATTTTTAATTTCATTAATACTAAAATAAACAAATAATAATCACTGATTTTACAATTCCTATTTCAGTTTTATATCCCACTAGGGGTGTTAAAATCAAAAGTAACAGAATGAACAGTCATTTTGCTGAATTCCCCATAAAATTATCTTTTCAATGATATTTGGTGCAAAGACTAGAAATAACAAGAGAGGACAGTCAGAGTGATACACTAAAATTTCGCCCCAATTTAAAGGGTTTTTAAAAGGATTCCATAGGCGACAGCTGATTATTTATTTTATTTATTGAAAAACATACATTCCTTATTAAGTGCAATCAAATATAGTCAAAAATAATTTAAAAGAATACATTAATATTCAACTTTCATTTAACCCTCTAAGGACGGACGTCGCTTATATGCGACATATCCTAATTATGTAAAATAGTTTGATATTTTGACAGCACTTATTATAGCCGAGCGTCGTCCTTGGTCGACATTTCCAAGCACATTGTATGGCCTCATGTCGCTTATATGAGTCCAACGCACGAATCTGTATGTAATATTAAAGAATTAATTCTGGCAGGCACACATGCATAGAAAAAAACAATTCCGTCCTCAGAGGGTTAAAAAATAAACACTTAAGTCAGTCAAGTATAATTAAGGTATTTTTTTTTATAAAAAATAAATGTTACTAAAAATCATTAGGAACGAATAAAAATATTCAAAATATCAAGAAATAGACTCTCTATTTCTTGCTGCTTTTCTAAAGCTATTGAAAAATGTACCCAGAATATCCAAATTTAATGAATTTGCACTTTTCATTCTTGTTGAGGACTAAATAAGCCATAATTAGTTTTGTGAAATGGAATAAAGAATAAATAATTTTGACTAGTATATATTTACTGTTTCCCTAAAGGTCTATTTATACTCCCTTATTAGTATTATGATTAAGGATTATGTTGAACCTTCACAATGTAATGGGGATATTTATTCTCGATTTATGATTAGTATTAGCATTAATATTTATGCTTAATAATTGGCAGGTTTAACTTTTATGTTAAATCTTAAATTTCTTCTTTTCTATCAAATCAATCAATGATGTATTTGGCCTTTGTTTTTAATAGACAACGGATAATGACAATTGACAATACACATATGATTATGTTGTCAGATGTTGTTTATAGGTTTGTTCCAACAAGCTTAAAAACGATAATATTTCGGTACAAATCATGGGCTGTATACAATTTTTGTGTATCAGCAATAGTCATTTTGTTTTTACGACTAATCTGAGCTAACTTGCATGAACTAAGCTTAGTTCTTTTTGGGATTGTAGGTCAGAATCTCTCTTCCACCCTTACCTATGCTAAGGTACACAGATCTTGACATCAACCATAAACCATAACAGAAAGTGAGTGCTTTGTGCATCATATGAACAAACATATCCTATGAATTCATTATTTTAAAGAAATTAAAAAACTATGATAACAGGGGCAAGATCGTAGTGTTGAATGTTGAAGAAATTATAAAATTTGATAAAAATGTCGATTTTTTTTAAACGGATGGCATGAAACACGTCTCCTGTCAACTAAAATTCTGGTTCTTTTTACAACTTAGCTCAGACCAGAATCTAACTTTTAGTTAGTCAAGTATACCTGTAAAAAGAAAACGATTAATGTTTACCGAGTATAAAGTTGACAAATGACATGTCACCATGAGGAAGCAAAGGCCTCTTTTCTGTCTGATTTGTCTCAAATTTCTGCTTCGAGTATAAATACCCTTTTTGAATATTTAGTACAGTTTAATACTTAATCATAATACTAATAAATACTAAGGAAGTATAAATAGACCCTAAATTAAATGGATTCTAAAAGTTTGCAACAATGAAATTACTTTATGATCAAATAATAAATCTATTCTACCCCTTCGAAATTCTAGACATTCAAGATCCACTAAGTTTAATATAACATAATTATAGTTGGCAAACACTAAACCTAATCTGAACGCACAATATCTTAGAAATGTGTGTGGTCATTATAAATATCACACCAGGTCACAGCACAACCTGGCGTTTTAGTCACTAACTTTTGTTTTAAAAATCATTAAAAATACATTAAGAGCTCAAATTTGGGTATTATATTCAGAAAAGTGCTTTTTATTCTCAGAAACTGGAAGGAATTAAAATTTTAAAATACATGCATCTTTAGATAATATTGCCTAATTTATTTTGCGAAAATTTTAATTTTTGAATAGAAATTCTTTTTGAAATATCCTTGCCTGAAAATTATAAGTTTGCTATAATCACCTTAAGTTTAATACATTATAATTATTATAGTTGCCAAATATTAAACCTAATCTGAATAGGGTCGTGGCACTACTTATGGCCACCTTAAGGCTTTTGTGGGATCTTTTTTTTAATAATATTGTAACAGAAAAAATAAAATACCATTTGATAGGTTGAAGTATGTGGTTTTCAATAGTATATGTATGTTTTGTTAAGAGCATGTAATTCTTTTTTACATTATTTTTATGAAAGTGGAAGAAATTCTTTACTTTTGGCCATCAGTCCGCCACTAGTTCTTTACTTATGGCCACTAATTTTTAAGTTGCATTTTTAAATATTAATTTAAGAGCATGTTTATATTTTAATTTACATGTATGTACTTATCAATGATTTAGAATAGGGTACCTAAAATTAAAATGTTTGATAAAATATGAAATTTATTTTTCATGAACATTAACACTTTCTAGAAATGTTATAACACATTTTCAACCTTGTTCTACTAGAGAATGCTCAGTTAACTGTCCTAAAACATTAGATATGGGAACAGTAAAAATCTCATTTTCAATATACTGCCTTCCTAAGCCAAAAAAACGGTATTTCAAAAAACAAAGTGAGGTTTTTGTTTTTTAACGAATCTGATATCTTGAAAAATATTGCATCAGTTGAACTAAGAAAAATAGCAAAATCTCAAATCAAAACATAAAAACAAACTAAGATAAGTTTACATATCTCCACTTCACTTGTATTTACTAAAAGGCTTAGGTGTATGCCATTATTACTAATCTAATTGACTGCATATCCATTTATGACTGAAGAATTTTAAAATTAATATTCAAACACAAGAAATAATGAATTAAAGAAATTCAGCGGTACTTAATTTTTTTTTTTTTTTTTTCAACTCAAGATAACAAGAAGATAACTTTTAGAAAATACGTATTTTCTCGAAACTCAGTTCAACTGAGATACCGCTATTTGGCTCAGGAGAGCCGTATATTTAAGAGTAGTTTTTTCTTTGTTTGTGCTTTTTAAGCACTGGATTGCTATTTCATTTTTCATAGTTTGACGTACAGTTGCAACATATTTATACAAGGTCGATCTTTTTTTACCACAGGCACTAAATTGTACAAATATAAAGTCGCCCGGTTTTAATGTTTTTCCTAACTGCATAATCACTGCTGATTTTATATACGAGAAACGGCCACTGCTGTCATATGCCAGTGATATTTCATCTTCTTAGTTAAAAATCCCAATTGCTACCTTACCCCTCAACCCACATAACTGCAGTGACCATAACTAACCAATTCTTAATTTTTAGTCATTACTAATGGCCACCCTGATATTTATTTTTATTTAAAAAAAAATATATGATGTTGAGAACAAAATACATTTGTATTAACATCTAGTTACCTCTGGAATAGCAAATGTTCAAAAATATCCTTAATAAATCTGATTTTTGTTCTTATGTTTACAGACAAATTCTTAGTCAAAACAACAAGTAATACTTGCATGTATTACACATACTAACTATCTATTTTACTGATTTTCAATGGACTTGGTTTATTTATTTATTTGGACATAAGCCCTTTTACAATATTTACAATTTTCTTACAAATGAAATCTAAAATAATTCAGATTTAAAACAATTATACATGCCTTATGGAAATAGTATTAATAAAAACAAAAATAAAGGTATTTATTGCAAACCTGCCCAATCATGTTACCACATGCTCTTTTACCTCCTTTAACCAGCATTTTTGTTTATATTGTGGCTAAACATTTATTTTTAGATCTTGAAGCAAGAAGTGGCCATTAGTAGGGCAGTGGCCATAAGTACTGCCATGACCCTGTACCTATATTAACATGTAAGATGTTTATAGTTCTTTTAAAAGCAGAAAGAGAGTTATGGACAATCTTAATGTACCTCATTGCAACTTAGTGTACTTAAAAAAATATGACTGCTCATTTTGAAAAAAATATTTGCAGCACAATTTACAATTGAATTGTATTGTTATAGGCAGAAGGTTATGTAATTGGAAGCTGCATAAAACACATCCCAATAGCTGGCAGAAATATAACTTACTTCATCCAGTCTCTTCTAAGAGAACGTGAAATCGGTATACCGCCTGAGCAATCCCTAGAAACGGCCAAAGCAATAAAAGAAAAATACTGTTATATATGCCCGGACATAGCCAAGGAATTCTCCAAGTATGATACCGACCCGGCTAAATGGATGAAACGGTACGAGGGAATGAATTCGATCACCAAACAACTGTTCAACGTTGACGTGGGCTACGAACGGTTCTTAGGACCGGAGATTTTCTTTCATCCGGAGTTTTCAAATCCCGATTTCACGATACCGTTGTCGCAAATCGTCGACGATGTCATCCAGAATTGTCCGATCGATGTGCGCAGGCCTTTGTACGATAATATCGTTCTATCAGGTGGTTCCACTATGTTCAAAGACTTTAGTAGGCGATTGCAAAGGGACATTAAGCGAACCGTAGATGCAAGACTGAAACTTAGCGAAACGTTGGGAGGTGGCAGATTGAAGGTACATATCATATATTTTTTTATTTTATTTAAAAAGCTGAATGATTTGTTAAAAATGGCGTATGGTCCGATCATATGATAGCACAAATGGAATAGATTTTTTAGTGGTTTACATACTGTTTTCGAGGGTGCTTAACAGGAATCTGAATTTTACAAGTAAAAAATTTTGTTTTTCATAATATTTCTATACCAACAGCTTTGCCAGAACTTGAAAATGTGATCTGCCTGAATGACATGCATTTTAAATAATGCACTGTCTGACAAAGGATCATTCTGTATCGAAAGATATAACAAATGTTCTTGCAAAGGGTGGTAAAGTTTTGAGGAACATAGAAGTGGTAAAAAAAATACTGTGTCCATTGCCATTTTTTTTTGCACAAAGTAAACTTTATTTAACAAAATATAAAAAATTAATAACAAACACTTATTTGATTCGAAATTTGCAATACCAGTGTAGTATAAAGAACTTGAGAGTTTATACCAATTATAATACACCTTGTAAAGAAGGCAATGATTGGCCAAACATAGTGAGACTGTATACCATTAATTCCAGTTCCCTGATGTCGAGTAATTCCAATAATCACTATCTCTGCCTTTCTTGATTCACTAACATGCGTGGTTTGATGATGTGATATGCTTCAATGCAGAGTTCACATATCAGTAAAACCTTAATTGACTATTAAATTTCACAAGTTGTAAATATTAATTAGCCCAGAAAACCATTCACTTGGTAACTAAACTAAATGAGCTTAGAGCAGTGAATGTATAATAGCACGGCATACATGCCTCGAGTTTATTAAAATGTAGACTTGTATTTAGTGTGAGATGCAAGTCTGATGCAATTTGCCATTGAAAAGAATAAGCCATTTCTACTTATTATTATTATTTAATATTATTTTTTATATTTGGATTATTAATTAAATTATTGGTGTTTGAATGGATTAATAATTATTAATGGGACTGGGCTAGCCTGATGTATGGAATGAAATATGTTGGATGTATTTCCAATATCCAGCATATCATTAAATCTTTTATATGGCGTTTAGTTTCAATTTTACAAATGTAGCCGTGGACAATTATTGTATACAAGATTTGAAATGTTTCAAATAAAAAGTACTAAAATTATTTATCTTCAATTCATATTCTATACATTTTTTGATTAGATCGACCCTACTCACTCAAGTAGAGTTTATCGGGTTTCGTATATTTGTGCAATATTGATGAAATTCCAACTTATAATTTTATAATGTCATGTGGGGAACACATAATATTTGCAGATGAAAAATGTAATCTAATTTAAGGTGGTAAAATTCAAATTTATGTTCAGTACCCTCCAAAATATTGTAGAAGACACTGAAAAAAATGTTCACTATTTTTTGCAAGTGTCCTACACTGTATAACTGTACTAGTACCAATCACGTTTCTAATGATATGCCATTTAAAAAATATGCTAGGAAACAAATAGTTTTGAGTTAATTATGAATTTTTGTTTTTTCAGCCAAAACCCATCGATGTTCAAGTGGTCTCACATCATATGCAGAGATATGCCGTTTACTTTGGCGGGAGCATGTTAGCGTCCACGGTAAATCAATTTTTTTTTTCGGTTTAATTTCGTAAATAATATGAACTGTATTTAAAATAATTAATTTGTTTTAGCCCGAATTTTACACCGTCTGTCACACTAAAGAAGATTACGAAGAATACGGACCCAGCATTTGTAGGCACAATCCAGTTTTTGGTACAATGACGTGATTTACTTTTTGTAGTATTTTTTTTATATTCTTTTTATATGATTTAGAGTAAAAACGACGGTGTTTTTAAATCCATCATTACAAAATATAAGTTCCAATTTTAAGTATTCACTTAATTTATAATTGATTTAATATTATTTATCTGTAGTTGTTAATATTTACAGTGAAGTTGTATAAAGTGAGCAGTAAATTTATTAAAGTTCTTCCATTCAGTTTTTTTTTATTTCCTTAGATATACATCTTTAAATTAGAAAATTGAATTTTATAATTTACGTATAATTTTATTAAATACATTGAAATACATATTAGCACCTATCTAGACACTGTTATCTTCAAAAATTCGTTAGAAAAACTAGTTATTGAAAAGGCTTCAAATTAATATGGTTCTTTTATTTTTAACAATCATCGATTTTTCATTAATTTAAACATTTAGGTTTCGAGCAGAGATATAGAAAAAAAAAGATACCTTACTAAATTCGATGTCCTAACAACAGTTTACATTACGAAATGCAGTAAATATTTCAAATTTGCTTGACTTTATTTTCGAATTATTGAAAAAAATTGGTATTTTTCATAATAATACAGATAAAGGTTATACTGGTCATACATCTTTAGAATCAAACTCCATGATTTGATTATTTGTTACTTAGATTTAGTATATTTCTAACTCGTATGTTTTTTATTTCCCATATAGGCATACCACCTAATATTTTACAAATTTGATATTGGATTATGGATTTCCAAATGATGCATAACATTTTATAAAGAATAATTTTAAAAGGCCTTTACAACTTATAAATATCTAAAAATTAGTTTTTCTAATAACCATAATGCATAATCCTCCTAAACCAGAAATTTATTGAGACACCAAGTAAGTGTAAAAATCTGATTTGTCCAATACATGACTTTCCTATTATATATTATACACTTTTTTCGGTTATTTAATACAACCTCTTGTATCACCCATGTAAATGTTTAGAGAATGAACTAAATACATACATTTTCCTCACATATCTGACTCGATTTTTTTTTTAAATATTGCCAACGAAAATACTGAGGAATTTAAATTTTACGCTTCTTTAAATTTTTCCAGTACGTTCTATTTTAGAGACATCATGTATAGAACAAAAATTATAGAGAAATGCATCATCATAAGCAACTTTTACTTGAAGAATGTTCTTCTCTAAACGTAAATGCAATATATTTAACCCTAATTTGAGGGTGATTGCAACTAACTAATTATTGTCTATGAATTAAACAATATGTTGATCCTACAACCATTTAATTTCAACTGCGGTACAAAATATAAAAATGTCTCTACAAGATAAGAAATTAAATTTACAGGGTGTAACAATTTGAACCTATAAAATAATATGAAATAATTATATTAGATATTCCACATCTCCCCCTCAAAAAAAAAAAAAAAATAGAATTATTAACCTTAAATTTAATATTTACAATCTACCAAGTTAATCATAATTTAAACGATTCACTGGTTTGACCACCCTTTTGGGCCTACTACTAGCACCTAAACTACTATTTACATCACTATGTACATCATTATTTACACTAGAAACTTCATTTGAATCATCTGCTTGAGACACTGCTGGAAGTGAAGATTCCATGATATGACATTTTTTCATTTGATTCAAATGACGTTTCCATTCTGTGTCTTGAAATTCTGGAATTTTAACAATATTATGTAACTTTTCCAATTTTTTTAACAACAACGGCTTTTATCCATTCCACCTTATTTTTTCTTCGATAATCGCGTACAGTCACCCTGGCTCGAACACTAAAAACCTTTTACCACTAGAATGAAAGAATGAATTTTTTGTTTTTCTTGTACCTTTGACATATGATTTCTCAAATTGGTTTGATCACCAGGTAAAAGTATATCAAAACGAGTGCGTAAATTTCTCTTTAACATTAATTTCGCCGGACTTTCATTTGTTGTAGAATGTGGGGTTGAACGATAATCAAATAAAAAATTATTGAGCGCTAAATTAATGTTAATATTAGAGCTTTTCCCAAGTGTATTTTTCAGAGCATTTTTAATTGTCTTAACGGCGTTCTCTGCTGCCCCATTAGAGGAAGGATGGCAAAACATGATTATTTTTTAGAAAGTTTTTAAATTCTAATGAACAAAATGAAGTACCGTTATCAGTTACGATTTTATTGCGTAAACCGAATCGGGCTAAACAAGATCGTAATATCTCTATTGTTTGCGATGACGTTATTGAAGTCATACGAAAAACTTCAATCCACTTTCTATGAGCATCTAAAATTATTAAAAAATAATTACTTAAAAAAGGACCCATAAAATCTAAATGAAGTCTTTTCCATGGCTGTTCAGGCCAAGGCCAAGATTGAACAATGGTTTTTTCTGGAGCTTTTAAATTTTTTAAACAATTTTCGCAAGTTTTGCATATTTCTTCAATTTTTTTACCTAAATTGGGCCACCAGAAATACGATCGCGCTAAGCTTTTCATTTTTACCACACCCACATGTATAGAGTGCAAACTTTCCAAAATGTTTGCTTGTAATTTAACGGGTATTGTTCCAAATTAAACAGTGTTTTTCAATCGATAATTCATTTTTAATGTACTATAATTAATAATGTCCGTTTTGTCTTCAAAATTTCTACTTGAAAATCGTTTTTTCATTAAAGAGCACACAATACAGACCACATTATTATTGTTCACAGGACACAGTGTATAGTTCCTCCATTTTACAAAAAGAAAAACAAACCGAAATCTATCTGAAGTCTACGATTTTCCTCACACGTCGATTCGCGGTGCGAATTGCAATATGCGTAAGGCGACGTAAAAATCGCTGCCTCTCGACCGTATTTCACGTGCGCAAACAGATTGACTACCGTCGCCGTAAAGTAGGGTCAATAACACATTACACCAATGAATTGTTAGTACATTTACGAAGTTTACGTAATGTTTCAGAGAAAATATAATACCTAATTTAATATTAATTTCTATGCATTGTAAACTGAAAAATATTTATTTTTAAATCTCAAAGTGTAGGGAAGCGGTGCTTCCCCCGCTTCCATGGACCGCACGCCCCTGGTATATCTCATAAAGTAGAAACCACCCCCAGGGGGGCTATTTTCAAAGTCGAGAGAATTCATTTCTCTCGAGAGAAATGTCATACGTCAACGTAAAACAGTATTTTTAGGGTCCTAAGGGCCAGTGTGAACTCTGATTGTTTCTCACGGTTTATTTAGAGATAATTAATATCCTCATAAGAATTTTAATCCTCGAGGCCTTTAAAAACAGCGTTTCCACATTGACGTATGACATTTCTGATGAGAATCTTGAGAGAAATGAGTGCTCACATACTTTGAAAATAGGTCCCCAGATGCCCAAAGTCTAATCAGCTCTCAGCAGGATGGATTAGAGCTTAAGTTTAAAATTTTGTGTTTTTCTCTTTATCCGTTCATAAGTTATCGAGTATACAGAAACACACATCATCACGAAAATAATCAAAACAGATTCAGGGGACCCCAAAACGTTAAAATTAGTCGAATACTTGAGGTCGAAAAAATCTTGATTCCTATTTACTTTTTTTAACTGTATATAGACAGGAAAGTAAAAAGTATTTGCTTTTTTCTAATACTAAATTTCTCTTATATTACTTTTTGTATAACGATCAACTATGTTTTTAACTATTTTCCTATTGTGTTGTAAAGAATGAAAGCTTCGGTTGTTTTTTTTTTCCAATAATAAATGTCACTTATATTATCTTTTGTATTCGCTCCGTGCGTGACGGCAGCGCCACTTAAATATGTACTAAAGGGGGATTTTTCATGTATTGACAGTATTATTTTGAATAGGATTCCTAATTAAAAAATGTATTTTTTGCTTTTAATAAAACTATATTGATTTATAAAACAAGTGGAATGATGCATTTTTTTTTTATTTGGTGTCATCAGCGTCGACTACTAAGGCCATTATATGTTTTTATTACTTCAGCTAAAGAAAAATAAGTATATTTAATAAAAAAAATTATTAAAACATATGCACAGAACAGGCAACAGTAGGTCTTTTCCTTTGCATCGAAAGTGTAGCACCATTGAGGAAGGATAATTTGTATATATGGAACGATATTTTCAGAATTGGTGTAGCCCAGTGCTACACTTTCGATGCAAAGGAAAAGACCTAGTATTTACGAGAAAGTGTATAAAAAGTTGCCTAATGAAGTTGAAGGTTAATGTCAAACGTGTATTCAAAATTTATTCCCAAAAAATAGTTGTAATATTGTAATATTTTTGAATATAAATATAAATTATACTTTTTTTCTTAATTTTTAGTTCGAAAGAAAATATAGAATTGATTATTAAATAACTATTTTCCAATCAGTCAGTCACAAAATTGCATTCCAGATACAGACAATATTCAGAATCAATGGGTGCTATGATTGAACGTTTACGTTATCCGTAACGTACATGTTAGGCCGAGTTTTAACATTAACGGGGCAAGTTTGTGTGATGGAAAACTGTTAAATTAGAACATAATAAGCGGAAAATAACAGTAATGTGTTGGAAAAAGTTTTCCATCATACGAAATTGCCTCATAACGGTTAAAACTCGGCCTAACATGTACGTTATGGATAACGTAAACGTTCAATCATAGGACCCATTATTTCGATTTTACTGAAGGACGTCGTGGAACCCCACATACTTTGATTACTATACGAGGCAAGAGAGAGGTCCGACACGCCCAACATAGGGCGCGGCCCTTTTGATCCCTGTGACACAGTTTACAGCTAAAGAATCAGATCGCTCACTCTGCGTCGGCACTTTTGATCTCAATGTTTTAGTACAGCTTATACAATACAGCTAAAACACTCTCTTGGCGGCAACGGTTTGCGTCGATTTCGTCGCGCATCGCTTAAGCTCCGCCTTCGAAGGGAAAAGACGGTTTTGGCGTTCAGAATCGTACTTAGGTAAGTTGTTGAGTCGTGCGTATAATTTCGTTGATTGTATAATTTCGTGGAGCCTATAATTTCGTTGATTTTGTTTGAGTTAAAGGTACTGTTATTATTTTGGTGACTCTTTGTGAGTAGAATAATTAAAAAAAAAAAGACATCATTCTGTTTGTGCAGTCAAAATCTGTTTTAATAAGGGTTATACCTGCAAAAAAACATTCTTTAGTTTTCCCAAGGACCCAAACCGATAAGTACCACATTATAAAAAAATTTCATTGTTAAAAATATAATTTATACAGGGTGTCCCATTAGTACGTTATTGTTCATTATTTTGTTGTAGACACGCAAGAAAGTTTTAAATAAAAGTTATATGAATTTGAAAAATACCTACATATTTTAAAAATATCTTTGGATATACAGGGTGTCACGTTTTTGCCTGGCAAATTAAAATGTATGTTTTTTAAATAGAACACCTTGTATTTTATTTTATGATGAAATTATTAACACCCTAAATTATTGTAAAGACGAATTGCTACAGAAAAATTTTATCAGGTATGTGTGTGGTTACAGTTCATCAAATTTCTAGAGGTGTTCGACGCCCAGACAGAGAACGCGCTACGTGTGACTAAGATAGCTATTGTACAGTCTGATAAACAAGTTATTTTAAATAGTTTTTAATATTTTAAGGTAATTAAATTTTAAAAGTGTGGAATAGTTTAGGGATTAAATTGGTCTGATTGGACTTTCTTAGAACGTTTTTAAAAGCAGCTAAAGATAGTATGTAGAATTGAAAATAATTATTATGCCATAAAAGGTGTTTTGGAATTCCTTCAACCTTTTGAAATTGAGTCAGAAAATATAAATTTTATAGGATAGCGGAAAATACCTATAATTTTTTTGTAGGCCTTTGTAAATCGTGGAAATAGTTTATATTTTATTTCTACCTTATTAAGGAAAATGGTACCTATTATTAATAACGGTTGTTTCTGAAACATTACTAAAATTTTCGAAATTTTGTTTTTCTACAAAATAATAAACTATACTATTTAGAAAAAAATTTATTTCTCTTATAATTTTATAAAAAATAACAGGAATATTTACATTTCTTGATCTATTAAACAAAACGATAAATTATCTCGACGAATGACACCATGTTCTAGTACGGAAGCTAGCTTTACATTTTTGTTGGTGGTTTCATGGGTTTCATATCAATTTTTTGTAATTGTAGTTTACACGTACATATACCTCTTAACACTTGTTTGCTTTATTAAAAAAGTGTGTTGTTGTGATTTACGTCGAAATAAGTCAAAAACAACTTGAAACCCCATATAAAATCAAAAAGGAGAAACGGAAAAAAATTGAGCCTGTAAATGAACACAACTCAGAAACAAAAATAGCTATCTAATAATAAAAAAATAAAATTTGATTCTTGTGCAGCTTCATCTATATCATTAACTGTTTTTGGTTTTTTAATGGTTTTTCTTGGTGATGAAAATTCCGATATCTCACGGTTATCGATTCTTTTTTCTCTCCAGAAATGCGGACGACGGTGTTTTTAGATACTCCTGTGGCTGCAGCAACACGATCATTTACATTTTTAAATGGTATTGAAGGTGAATTAAAGTTTCCTTCTCTTCTCATAAACTCTATAACATTGGCTATTATTTCGCGAGATTGACTGTTAATCACGTGGCCTCTTAATTTGCTATTAAACTTCATACTTAGGTTCTATTAAACTGTAATAAGCAAAAAACACAAACGAAAATAAAAGAAATGTTTTAGCGAAATTTACATCTGACATTTACGTCTGAATGAAATAGTGAAATACTTGATGCGCAGAGTGTACTTTCATTGCGTAAATCCGTCGGGATGCCTGTCAGTAGTGCTTTCTCTGTCTAGCCGTCGAAAGCCTCTAGAAATTTGATGAACTGTACCTTTTAACAAAAGCCTTGCGGATCCACTCCTGCGATACCTGTCTTAAATATAACAAAGATCACGTTGAATTAGATGATTTTTCTTTTTATTGCTTTTTAAAGGCATATGATAACGCCAATTCAGATACATTTGGAAATCTGCAACTGTCAAATGATGAATTTGTAGAACTAATATTCAATATTGAAAAGATATTTCAAAATAATTTTGAAGAATTGCCTACAAAAAATAACATTTGTACCACACTTTTAGAATTAATTAACCCAATACCCTTTAGTCATCCATGCTAACGTTTTCCAAAAGAATAACTTATTTTATTGTATGTTTAATCTCAATAACAAAAAAATATACTGACAATTAGTTTGACAGAATTGTCATTTATTTAAAATTTTAAAAATAATAGCAGTCGGTTGATTAAAATATGAACGGTGATTGGCGAATTTATTTTTTTTGCAGTGTTCTCACTACCTAGAATGGATATGAAATATATTCGTTCAATTGAAGGCAATAGCATACTTTTTCGTTTTGTAATCTGTGCATGGATATTAGCCAATCTACGCACATACTACAAAACGAAAAAGTATGTTATTGCGTTCAACTACGAATATATTTCATATCCATTTTAGGTAGTGAGAACACTTTAACAAAATTAAATCTACAAATCACAGTTCATATTTTGGTCACCCAACTCCTATTATTTAAAATTTTTTAAATAAGTGACAATTCTGTTAAACTAATTGTCAATATATATTTTAGTTATTGGTATTAAATATACATTAAAATTTTTGTGTAGACTCGATAAATAGCATTTTTGTTTTTATTGTGTCCACATTTAAAAAAAATAAATTTTAATCAAACTGCATGATACTAATTTAATTACGAGTATTAAAACTAAAGTCCTGAAAGTTTCGGTGAAGATGAGGACAGAGCATCGGCCTTCCACGCGAAAAGCCCGGGATCGAATCTAGGCCGAGGACTAATTAATTTTTCATGTTTATTTTATTTTATAAATTAGTCAACTTCGTAAATTATTTTAAAATTAGTTATTTTGTCTAAATAACCTAAAATAATTTTTTAAATTTGTAGATTTTCGTTAGTGGGTCGTAGAAAAAAATATACTGACCATATCGAGTGGATTGTTCATATCACAATCAGACGATTGAGTACTCCGCCTACGACGTCGTGCTCAAACTTCGTCTTTGTGTAATATGGCTATCATATCCACCCTTGTTGAACAAACTACAATTTATTTGTTTTCTTGGTTTAAGTTTTACATCAGAAATAGGAACTAAATTAATTTACTTTTCAAGTTTTCTTGTAAAAATCGATATTACTTTCTCCAAGTACAAATTTAGTACCTACCTAAAATAAGTACTAATTATGTAATATCGTGTAATATTGTAATTCAAATTTCACATTACTATAAAATTTCAAAATTCCCTACTTCGGTATGGTCAGATAAAAATAGAATATATTATATTAATAAATATTGTCAATGTATTACTTTTACAAATCTGTATTTCAATTAATAAGAATACATCCCAATACATCTAAATATAACCAATATTGTTAAAATAAAAGCACAAATTCTTTATAATTCCAAAATACCATAGAGTTCCCAGACCTCAGTCGAAGCATTCGTTTATCTAGGTATAAACCCTTTGCGCGAATAGTAACACTTGCCAGAGACACGGGGTACCACTTGATTTGCATCCACGAGCGTGACACAATTCTTTAACAATTGAAGCCCTTGGTGTAAAAAGGATCCAAGCCACAATTTGTCGTGAAGTGACTGTTTTAGCTCAAAACATTTGTTAACGAGGATTTTACTAGCCACATACAAATTATTTTACCTCTAATCCGAAAGATGTGCTATTTTTCGCAATATTTAAATTTAAATAATTTTTTTAATTATATTTAACAGATTTAAAACAAATTAAAAATTTAATTTTCCATAACTTACTTAATATGGCATGTAACCAAACTCATTACGCCAAGGATTTCAATTTTTTCAATAATAAAAAAATTGTTTAATCCGGGCCCGACTTTTCCCTCGAATCTAACAGAGATAGCACCATTCCGTCTTGCTTGGTTCTCGACCGCCAGATCAAAGACGCCGACACGGAGTTGTGGAGCTGTATTGTATAAGCTGTGGTTTTAGTTTATACACTGTGCAACTCGGATAATACAATATATGACAACCGCCTATAATAAAACAGCAGTCTTCTGCGTATCCTGAATTTGTATCCCTGGAGTGGATGTTATTTTGGAACTTACAACAATTCCGAAGCAGAAGCGGATGATTAAAACGCACCTAATAAAAATAATATTGCGCCAAGATGTAGGCAACACGTATTAAGGGTTCAAAATGGCGGAGTTTTCTATCTCCTTTTAAAAGGCACTCAGAACTGCGCAGTGCGACCATTCTCCGTAAAATAAAAGAAAATCAAAGTATGTGGTGGAACGTGGAACCACTGACAGCAGCAAGCAAAATATCAGGTGCGTTTTAATCATCCGCTTCTGCTTCCGGAATTGTCGGTTTAGTCGTTTTAACCTGTCAGATTAAAACAAGAAAACCGACAATTCCGAAGCAGAAGCGGATGATTAGATAAAACGCATCTATTAAAAATATTGCGCCAATATGTAGGCAACACGTAATAAGGGTTCAAAATGGCACTCAGAAAGCTGCGCAGTGCGACCATTCTCCGTATAGTAAAATAAAATCAAAGTATGTGATGTGGTTCCCATATATTTCCCTTGTTTACTTGCACGTCTAACTATACAGGGTTTAACTACAATTTTTTTTTAATTTTAAAAGTTTTGCCCGTTTTAGCCAGAGTTAAGGGAACATTATGTTACTGTTAACATTTTTGATGAATATTCGATTTGCATTTACAAGCTAATTACATATAAATAGAAAATATTTAGCTTAGTTTTACTTAAGTACGAGGCCATCAAATCCAAGAACAGAAAAGGGATCTAAAAAGTGTGTATCACAAATGATCCTAAAAACGAAATGTTCTACTATTTTTTTAATTGGGACGTAAATTAAAAACAAATAATGTATTATGTTTTTTTTATTTGATTATATATCTTGAAATATCATCTAATGTTGAATATAACCCCAGTATATATAACTTAAATTTAACCATTATCATAAGCCTGCGCAGTACCCGTCCGCATGATCTAGGGACCCTAATTTCTTTGTGGCGTTTGTGGGCAGTGGCAGAGAAGTTTATGGGGAATATAGGTTTATTCAGTTAAAGTTGGCAAAAATGATTAATTTTGATGGAAAAGGTGTAAGAATGGATGTCTTTACAATGTTTATATTTTGATAAATTGCTAAATATATGTGTTATTTAAGTGTAAAATATGTTACTTTAGTTAATTTTGTGGTTAAGAAAATTGTCTACTATTAAATGTAAGTTAATTTTGCAACAATATGTTTGTCTGAAAATTTTTATTCTAAATCTACCCACCAAGCGCCATATTTATTTGTCTAATGAAAGCTGTAAAATCTGCTGTCAGTTATTTTTTTCTTTAGTTTATTTCTGTTTAAGGCAATAACATGAATTAATTAATTTGATAATTACAATTGTAATTATTCTACTATTTTAGTAAATTATAATAATTTTTAGTTATAATTATAATCTTGACATCTAGTTTACTATTGATATAATACCTATGGATGAACATTTAATATTTTTATGTCATATGGGGTGAATTTATTTGTTTTCGTTTCGTACCTAGGCAGGTGATTTAGTAGAATGATTTTTCAAGCAAACTATAAACTAATACTTCATAATTCCACCCTTGTAAAGCAAATAAATAACTATATAACTACTACCTAGAAGCATTAGCTGAAAGCTGGAATGCTTTTGAAAATAAAAGGCAATTTTAACAATCTAAATAAGGTTTACTGTTTACTTGTCTTTAATTGGTGTTCCAAATTTTGTTTATAAGAAGTAGAAATAACAGAAGTTATCAATAATTTCTTTTAAACCCTTTGCTATTAGTAATGAGTAATTTATTGTGAGTGCCAATTTTGAGAAAAAAGTGAAACCAATTTTTGTTTTATATTTTTTTTTATTTTGTGTCATGGGCATCGACTTCTAAGGTCATTAGCCTCGTGTTCTGTGTAGGCTTTAATAAATAATTAAATTAAATAAAAAAATCCCAGCCAACAGTGGGATTCGAACCTGGGACCCTTGGATCCACAGGCAGAGACTCTACCACTGAGCCACCCACCCCCTTGTTTTATAATTTATCCTTGAACATTATTATTTTCTTATTTGGAGTTTTTGTTTTCTTAATTTAATGCCCATTTCTAATTTTGTAGATGCATAAAATTTTAGATAATCTCTAATAGTTTTAATTTATGATACCTACACATAAATATTTGCATCTTCTTGGAATTTGAGTGGTAATTACTTCAGGTACATTGTTAAATAACAATTTATTTCCAATATTGAGAAAGGACTTTTCTACTTTAAACATGTCTTAAATAAATAAATCAGTAAATATAACATTGTGGGTTAAATATAAAAATAAATATTGCCAAGGTATTATTACATTGTTTTTTTTTTTTTAGATTGCCCCATATTCCTGTAAATAAAAAAAACTTAAAATGGTGAGTATGCCAGAACCGGTTGTCATAAAAATTGAAGATGATACATCTCCAGCTCTAACAGTGATTGATGTAGGTAAGTAAAAAAGAAAATTTATAAGGTAGTTCTATATGATTATAAAATTAAAGTATGTTTACAATGTTTTACTGGAGATACATCTTGAACCATATTTACATATTAATGGTAAATCTATACAAAATAGTGATGGTATGAAATTCTTGGAAATTACATTAGACCCTAAGCTGATGTGAGAAGCTCACACAAACAGTGTAACTAAAAAAATTAAGCTCCTGTTGCTATCATGGGCTTACAAGCAAAAGGCAATAAGTCAAAAATTTATCAAAATGGGTTTATATTTTTGTATATCATGTAAAAACAGTGCATTGTATTCCGAAAGCATGTACATTTTCTTTGAAGCAGTTGATAATCCCTAAATAATTTATAAAAAAATTAGAACTTCATTAAAACTTTAAATAGTTCATAACTCATAAACCTGTTTTTTGAGTTAATGTCTTTTGCTTGTAAGCCCTCACTATGTTATCAGAAACTTAAGAGATACTATGACTTTTGATGTATTGAAGCTTTTTCATTATGGATTGGTGCAGTCCAGTCTCTTAGATAAAAGAGACCGGAGATGTAACATTGCACATATTTGTTGACGTTTCGACATAAAGTTGCCATGATTCTTCGAGCTGAATACTTCAGATCCGCATTAAGGGGTTTCAATAAATATTAAGCCTCAAATACATAATATTTCAGAAAATAGATTTCATAATGCATCAATTTACAAAAGAGTATAAAATTTTAAACATTTAATCTAAATAAGAAGTAAATATGCATTGTTAATAACGAAATTTTGTTTTTAAAAAGTAGTTTTATAAGCATACTAGCTATTGCCCGTGGCTTTGCTCGCATAATAGTCGTGTTATTAATTTTAAAAAAAATACATGACTTCCTTTTTTTATTAATTTTTATTAGTTTTATTGATTTTCATTCTTTTTTTTTTTTTTCATTTTTATTCATTTTTTAAAAAATTTAATTAATTTTTATTAATTTTCATTAATTTTAAAAAAAATTTAATAAATTTTAATAATTTTTAATAATTTTTATTAATTATTAATTTTTATTAATTTTTATTAATTTTTATTAATTTTTATTAATTTTTATTAATTTTTATTAATTTTTACTAATTTTTATTAATTTTTATTAAGTTTTATTAATTTTTATTAATTTTTGATAGTTTTTAATAATTTTTAATAATTTTTATTAACTTTCACTAACTTTTATTAATTTTTATTAACTTTTACCAACTTTTATTAATTTTTATTAATTTTTATTAATTTTTATTAATTTTTATTAATTTTTATTAATTTTTATTAATTTTTAATAATTTTTATTAATTTTTTAATAATTTTTATTAATTTTTATTATTTTTTTTTAATTTTTATTAATTTTTATTATTTTTATTAATTTTTATTAATTTAATTTTTATTAATTTTTAATAATTTTTAATAATTTTTAATAATTTTTAATAATTTTTATTATTTTTTATTAATTTTTATTAATTTTTATTTATTTTTCATTAATTTTTCATTAATTTTTATTAAATTTTATTAATTTTCACCCCCGTTTTCCCCCCTTAAAATGTGAAAATCCGAAAACCATGAAACACTTCATTATTTATTTATGATGAGAACCTACAATTCCAATTTTCAAGTTCCTACCTTTAAAAAAAATCGATATTTCCAAATAAACTTTCACCACCCGTTTCCCCCCCTTAAAATGTGAAAATCCAAAAACCCTAAAACACGTCATTATTAATTTGTACTCATTAGCTGCAATTCCAATTTTCATGTTTCTAACTTCAAAGAGAACAAAAAAGTTATACTCTCATACAAACTTTTGCCCCCGTTTGTCCCCCCTCAAGATGTAAAAATATAAAAACCCTAAAACACATTATTATTAATTTGTACTCAGTAGCTGCAATTCCAATTTTCATGTTTTTAACTTTAAAGAGAACCAAAAACATGGATACTCCCAAATAAATTTTTACCCCCCATTTCCCCCCTTAAAATGTAAAAATTCAAAACCCTGAAACACGTCATTAACAATTTGTAGTCAGTAGCTGCAATTCCAATTTTCATGTTTCTAACTTCATAGAGAACAAAAAAAATCGATAGTCCCTTACAAACTTTCACCCCCCGTTTTCCCCCCTTAAAATGTAAAAAATCCAAAAACCCTGAAACACGTCATTATTTATTTTTGCTCAGCAGCTGTAATTTAAATTTTCATGTTTCTAACTTTAAAGAACAGAGATTCCTTAAAAGCTCCCCCCCCCATTTCCCCCCCTTTAAAGTTAAAATTTCCAAAAATCCTTTCTTAGCGTTATAAAATAAACCTATGTTCCAAATTTCAGCTTTCTAAGCCTAGTAGTTTTGGCAGAGCGCTGATAGGTCAGTCAGTCAGTACAAACAATTTTATATATATAGATTTACTAAAGGTGGTTTTTAGCCCTTTATTAGGTATTTTTACAAGAATATAGATGAAGTACAGGTTCACCTACTTAAAATTTCAAGGTTCATTTTATTTGTGGTTAAATCGGAAGTGACATTTGAATCTTAACTCTTAAAACAAAGTAAAACGCGCAATGCGCTAGTTCAGTGATGATGCAATTATGGTTCCACTGTCAATTAAAGTGACAGTAAATTTTTTGAGGGAGTTTGTTCGTTTTGTTTACCTAAATTATATCATTTTTTTCACTTTTATAAATATATTCCTAAAGTAAGTAGATAGCATGTATCAAATATACAATCGTTTAGTTACCAATTACATACCTTTAAACTATTTTTATGACCTGTAAACAGTATTTTTAAATAAAATAAAAACGTATATGTCAAATTTATTGATGTTTTTGTTAAAAGTTTGGTTAGAATTAAATGTCAGTGGAACCAAAATGACATCACACTGAACTAGCGCATATGAAATTAGTCATATTATTAGTAGGTAAAATATTACATTATAAACCCCTAAACAACTCAAAAAATCTTCGTTTACTAAAAAAATCTAAATTCTAGCAATATTTATTATACAATCGAATGCGGTTTCAAAGATAACAGGATCAATAAATCCGAATCTCTAAATTTTGGAGCTAAATGCTCGGATAAAAGCATGCGACCGATAGGAGTAACAAAAATAATCGATTTATCGTTTTCATGAAAATTGATTTATCCATTATAATTAATCGATTATTTTTAATCGATTCTATTTGATTAATGGAACATTTTTAATAAATTGTTTTAGTTTTTTTAGGTAATGGAATAATCGATTATAAAGGGATTACAAAAAGAGAGTAGATTTATTCAAAATATTTGATTTATTGAAAATAATAGTTTTTTTTTTTTTTTTTTTTTTTTTTTTAGAAAAATCGATATAATCGGTTATTTTATACAGGGTGTCCTTTAAAATGTGTCCCAAAATTCTCAGGCAGATTCCTTAACCAAAAAATGGAAAAAAAGTTCCTATAGACCTATGTCCTAAAGTGCCCCCTAAGCGAGCAACAGCCTCTCGAAATCATTTTTTTTATTTTGATTTTTTGAATTTTCTTAAAAATGGAAACAAATAAAAGAACCAAATTTTGGCTGTTAAATATGATCAATAATAGTGACCTTTTGACACCTTCAAAAAGAAATTATTTCGTCAGGGGTGTACTTGGGAATTTTTTGAAAATTTTGATTATTCATAACTTTTTTGTGTTTTTGGTAATGACTTATCCATATTTTTTTTTACATTTTACATTGAAAACTACGTCAAAAAGGAATACTTGTTTGATCTCGATTGGAGCAGCCGTTTCCGAGAAAACATCATCCAAAGATATTCGTGCAGTTTAGGTTAATTTTCAATTTTGGCTGTTGTAGCCAAAAAGTTGGAAATCGAGGAACACGGCTTACATGTCCCTATCCTTACTTTTGAAGGTCTATTCAGTGGCAAAAAATATTAGTTGATACAGGGTGATCAAAAATCGGATGTGATTTTGGATTTTTGATCACCCTGTATCAAATAATATGTATTTTATGTCACTGAATAGACCTTAAAAAGTTAGGATAGGGACTGTAAGCCGTTTTCCTCGATTTCCAACTGTTTGGCTACAACAGCCACCTGAATTTGAAAAAATGTGATTTTTGAGTAGCTGTAGATCCTTTACTATTCATATTAGATAACAAGTGTGATATATCATTGAAATCAGATTATCGAGCAGATTCTAAAAATATAAAAATATACAGGGTGTTCCATTTAAAAAACATAACTTTGATTTGGCACGGCCTTATGAAACACCCTGTCACATCGTAACTAATTTTAAAATGTGAAGCTTAAAGCTGCCTACTTTTATTATAACAGATCTACAGAGCTTCCTCACACTAATCAATCACCCTGTATACTATTTTTAGCTCTCTAAATAAAATTTAAAAATTTAGTTCCCATTTATTTATTATGAAGACCATAAGGTTTGTATTTAGCTGTTTAGAATAAAAAAGTAAAAATATGTATTTTTTTGGCGTTTTTGTGTTTCATGGATAATTTTTTTCGCTCACTGATAAAAATGTTTCTTCAGTTAAACATTATTTCTAAAAGTGTTCTGGTGCGATTCGTTGTATTGTTATTATTTTGTTTAAAATGGCTCACAATAACTACAATAATGATTACACATTCGGCGAAATGACGGACATGCACTAGTTTTTTTACTTGTTATTGCTTCTCTTACATTTCACGACTTTTCGTATCGAAAAGAGTTGCGTTATGCAGAAAAAATCTGATTTCCCAAATCAATGGATTCTCTTTCTTAACTATCCACTACACAGATTCTCTCATTTAATTTCAGAAGTGGGAGTCGGACGTAACACGGTATGGAAAGTTTTGCGTGAACAACAATTGTACCCTTACCACATTCAAAAAGTTCAGGCACTTAAAGCTACTGATTATGAGCCGCGAGTTATCTTTTCTGAATGGTTTCTTGGAAGATGTAATCAAGATGCAATGTTTCTTAATAAAGTGCTATTTACCGATGAAGCTGGTTTCAC